CTGGTCCCGACACTGGGCTCTGAGATCAGGCATGCTGGGTGCAAACCCTGGCTCCCCGGGCCTATGCTCATCACTGTCAGAGAACAAAGTCCCTACACAGCACTGCACACATAGCCCAGGCCATGGTGGGGGAGGGGGACTGGCGGGCTGGGGGAGGGGTGACTCTAGCTCCTTGCACAGCCCCAGCATCCGGCACCAGACCTGCCAGCCTCCCTGTCCCATGCATCCCATGCCTGCCCCACTGCAGCCATGACCTCGGTGTCTGTCCTCCAGACTGAACCCAGAGTCATGGGAACAGCTGCTGGCCAGCCCTGCAGCCACAGTGCAGGACAAGACAGTCACCGTCCCTGCCTGGCCCAGCCCTGCTTCCTGTGAGCTGTGTGGCTTCCCTTCCACACCCCATGAGCCTGGACAGCACGACAGGGAGTGGAGCTTCCAGAGGCTGCGCCCGTCATGGTGACTGCTGTGCCGGGGGCAGCATCCTGCATGCGTGTCCCAGGGAGGTGGACACCTGCTCTTGCTGCCTTCAGTGTGCTCCTGCCAGTCGGCTCGGCATCCACTGTCATCGCAGGAGAAAGAATGTAACAGACAAGAATAACAGCTGCCGCCTCCTCTAGAACTGCACATGCGTGTGAGTGAGAGACGCATGTGCGATCAGGCAAGCAACCTCATCTGGAGCAAACTGATCTGAATTCTGAGACAGTGAACAGAGCTGCCTTCCTTCCTTCCTTCCTTCCTTCCTTCCTTCCTTCCTTCCTTCCTTCCTTCTTTAGGAAATCACGCTGGTGCTATACAATGCTAGATTCTAGGACTTTTTTCCTTTTTAAAATGCTCTTATTTGCCGGCAGGCATGGTAGCACACACCTATAATCCCAGCACTCAGGAATGAGGCAGGAGGATTGCCAGAGGTCGCCAAGCACACAAGCCCTGCAGCCAGTGCACCCAGCCGGATGCTGTGGCTGCCCTCGGAGCTGCCTGCACCTCCCACCTGTCTCTTTCAGATGCAGACCCAGAGGGGTTGGTGCAGTCCTGTGGTGAACCCCAGAGGGGTTCCTGGAGCTGTGTGAGTGAGAAGGGTGGTCACAGAAGCCCTCGCCCCATAGGACCACAGAGCCTGGCTCCCCAGTTGTTCTGGGGAGTCCCAAGGAGGCCTCTGCACATGTGGCCCATGTTGTGTGGCCCTCCTTGATGACCACATTGCACAGGCCCCAGCAGCGTGGTACCTTCATGCCAGGGCTCTGTTCTCTAAGACCAAGGTTTTGTGGGTCCCCACAGTATGACTTGGGGACCCTTTCTCCACTAAGAAATTAAGAAGTGATGCTTTTTAACTGCATCATTAGAAGTATTGTACTAATAGACGTTAAAATATATTTCTGGGACAAAGAGTTCAGTGTGCGTGTGCGCGTGTGTCAGGGCACAAGAGCATGTACAGGCCCAATGCTTGGCACCCCTGGTTCCCCAGGGAAGCCCTGGACGCCAGCCCCACCCTCCTGTTCCTCCACTGGCCCAGAGCCCCAGGTGCCTGCTCCTTTGTGCCAGCCCCCTGAGCCCCGGCTTCACGCTTGTGCAGGAGTTGGATCCACCTCTTTGGGAGTCAGAAACTGTCCCTTCTGCTCAGCTCCTGCACACTCAGTCTCACCCCTCAGCACCATTCATGAGGACTCGGACATGAACAGTAGGGACAGGCCTGAGCCACAGAGCCCCCACCCCAGCCTCCAGAGCGCCTCTTTCCATCAAGCTGGCGACCATGATGGTGGTGGTGAAGGTGACAGTGACAAGAGCAGGCCACTGACTTCCCTGGTTCCCCATGCAGGATGGCTGGGCTGGCAGGAGCATTCCTGCTATCCTAGCTGGAAGTGAGGAGCCAGGGGTTGGGATCACTGCAGGAGATTGTAAGGCTCTCGGGGAGGCGCTTCCTGTCCATGCTCAGAAGCGGAAGGCGAATCGCCCGGGCAGCACCACACTTTCTGTGTGTCTCTGGAAGTGATGTTATGAGGAAGAGGAAATGGAGTGCAAATCCATCTCAAGCAGCACATTTAGGGAAAGTGCAGGGGCAGGCGGGGAAGAGTGCCAGCCTCCAGGTGAAGAGCGAAGACTACCCACCTACCCTGCAGTCCTGAGGAGAAAAGGGGCCTCAGGCACGTGCAGCACAGGTCCTGACCCATTGGCAGCGCTGGGTCTGGAGCACTTGGGCACTTGGGGGTCTGCTTGGGACCTGCGTTCCAGGAGTGGCAGACTGCATGCAGTAGTCCTCGGAAGCTGTTCTTCGTGCACATGTGCAATTCAGAGCTGGAACCGGGAGCTGTGCACCAGACTTCACCCCAGCCCATTTTGCTTTGAGGCAGGGGCTGGCTCAGTTACTAGTTGCCCAGGCTGGCCTCAGCTTGCAGTTTGCCTGCCCCAGCCTCCCAGAGTGCTGGGGGTACTGGCATGTACAGCCACATCTGGCTTTGTCATGGTTTGCTGCTAATGAGGAAGCTCAGCCTCAGGCCACGAGGAGTCCAAGCGCTGGGCTTCCTGTCCCTCTGGAGAGCTCCTTGATGTCACCACGTATCAGGTGGGATTTTGGCTCAGCCCCGTTTGCTTAGCTCATGTGATGGATACAACGTCCCTGTGGGGCTGTGGCACAGACCGAGCCCTAAAAGTGGACACCTGTGCTCTCCGGGCTGAACATCAAGACTGCATCACAGCAACCCCTTGGTGGGCAGCCACTGAGTTCACGCTCCACCTTGTGGATACTGGGGCCTGTGCTCAGCGCTGTTAGAGAATCATGCATGTGGACACCTGGCAAACTCATTTGATCTGCATCTCTCTGGTCACCGAAAGGCTGGACTTTGTTTCTTAGGCTCAGTAACCTTTTGAATTCCATCGTCCAGTTCCTGCGGCCACTGTCTTTGAGGCCAGCCATCAGTCCAGGCCACCCTGTCTGCCATACCTCTGCTGGCTCAGAACCACACCTCAAGAGTCTGGGCCCGCCATTGCCATGGTGGCTCCCTATGGACACCGCTTCAGGCCACAAGCCACGATGAGGAAGGAGTCCGAGTTGTCTTCCGCTGCAGCTCTGGTCTCCGCCCACTTTCCATCTGTATCACACGCCCTGGCGCAAGCTCTGTGTCGGCCCAGTGGAAGGAGCTTCAGACCCTAACTCTGGGCAAGGCTGGAGGCAGACACTGCACACAGGGCCCAAACACTGGCCCTGTGGAAAGCCTCAGCTCTCAGCTGCCCGCTGGTGGAGCCCTCTAAGCTCAGAGCTGCCCCATCTCCCAGCAGGCTAAACCCTGAGATCTCACTTCCCTGAGGTGCCTGTGTACCCCATCCTCCCAGGCCCCAGCAAGCCACACTCCTGGATGCCAGATGAGGAGCCCTGGCCCCACAGGTGGGAACTGAGCTTGGCTTCCTGCTTGAATTTCCCATAGAGAGCAGAAACACACACACACACACACACACGGCACACACTTGCACATATGCACACACGCACATGCACACTAGACGACCACTCTGCTCAGTGCTCCCCACCATGGCCTCTCCTCTCCAGAGCAGCCAGGGACCCTTGTGCTGGGAAGCATGGGCAGCCCTCAGGGCAGGGATGGTGTTTCGTGTCCCAGTGCAGGCAGGAACCTCTGCAGCCTGCTCTCCTGCTCCACAAAAGAGTGGATGAGTAAGGCTGCTGGTGGATGGGTGGGGCAGTGACAACCAAGTGTCCCTTTGGGCCCTGCCTACTGCCCCCTGATCATTGGGCCATGCGGCTCCACGTGTGTTCTTGCTGGGGCTTCTTCGCTGTCGTCTGACTTTTTCCAGAGCCCCTTTTTCTTTTCTTTTCAAAAGATATGCACAGGTTCTTTGTCTGCCAGCACTAAGCGGGTATTTCATTCACTAAGAGAAAGCTAACACCCATCACTTCCGCACAGACGATGTGGGCTTTTCTACAGCTGACTCATCAGCCAGGGCTCGGCAGGCTGCAGGAGTCCTGGGTCGCCTGTACCCCAAGTGAGGACAGGCTGGCCCCCCACTGGGCAGGAGCCCCATAGCCTCTCAGACTCCCTCGTCCTCCATCAGACAAAACAGACAGCAGAAGCCACTTGGAGGAGCAAGATTCCAGCCACAGCCACAGTTCATGCTTCCAATACTGAGGAGGCGTGAGTCAGGTAGCCCGCAAAGGTCTGTTTCCAGCAGCTCAAACCCCAACTCTGCCAAATCCCTTTCCTGATAAACAGAAAGCTGAGGGCAGCAGTCCACTTGTAGCTTGCAATCCCCATAGTGAGAGAAGAGCGGCTGTGTGGGCCCACAGCTGGGACAGCGGAGCAACCCTGAGCCCGGCCCAGGCCTGGAGCTCGGTGTCCACGTGAACTCACATGGCTGAGGCCCTCGGATGGTCAGAACCCTGGGCCAGGAATGCAGAGACCGAGCGGCCTGGCAGCGCAGCCTGCTGTGGGCTGTGGCCCACAGAGACGGTGTCTTCCTGTGTGGAGGCCTGTGAGGCGGGCGGCGACCCCCGTTGACTCGGGAGCCGTGCGGCCATCACTGCTCAGGGTAGAGATTAGAGCAGGAGTCAGCTGTCTCAGTTTCCCCCAGTGGGAAGGTAAAGGTTCTGCAGAGACCCCTGGCCCCAGGGAGGCCGGGAGAGGATGAACAGTGAGGGCAGGTGCAGGGTAAGCACAGTGTCCGTGAAGGAGGACGCTGGCCAGCACCCTCCCCAACTCAGTCCTTGGCGCTGTCTCAGCTCGATGCCACAGGGAGCTTCCAGGCCAGGGTTGCGTGGCCAGAGGAAGTGAACGTGGGGACTGTCGTGGCCGTGGCTGTCCATGGGGAGCAGAGCACACTCAGCCCAGGGTGGGGATAGAGAGGGACACCCCGCCCCTCGGGACAGGCAGGACCGGCTCTCACCTGGCTCTGTGGCAGTGGGGCTCCTGGTGAGCACCACGTGACCAAGGGCTCCTGCGTCATTCGGTGTTAACGTGCTGTTCTTGTCTTCTGTCCCCTTCTGTTGCTGGCCCAAACAGAAGTTCTCTGCCGTCTCTCTCTGCAACATCTCCACAGAAGTCCTGCGAGTCATCACAGCCACTGAGGAGCTGATCGCGGAGTCCACGGGGCCCTGGGGGCTCCCGCCCGCACCCACGGGCAGGGAGGAGAGGCCGCTTCCTCTCGGGACAGACCGGGCGAGGCTGGAGGAGCAGCTGACCTCCCTGGAGGAGAGTGTAAGGGCAGACGTGGCCAGCAGGGGTGGCTGTGGGTGGCTGTGAGGTGGGAGGCCACATGTGTCCTCAGCCCCAGAACAGCCTGGGACAAGGGTCTGAGGCCAGCAGCTGAGAGAGACAGTCATAGCAGGGAGAGGGCTTAGGCCAGAGTCTGTCCTGACCCAGGGCAGGAACCAGTCCTCCTTGGCCAGCAGGAGCTTCAGTGATTGTGCCACAGTGTCCCCAGAGGATGCTCTCTGCAGTGAGCAGGAGTGGCTGCAGCCTGGGTTTGCTGGTGTACAGTGGTACAGTGACACTGTTACACCGTTCAGCTATTGCGGTGGGCCTGGGGCCAGCACAGGGCCCACACAGGCTGAAAGCACAGGCTCTGCACAGGCGCCTGAGGGGAGTGGCCCAGACAGTGAGGCTCAGGGGATGGAAAATTCACTAAAGGCGTAAGCACGCTAGGGTGGGGAAACCATGAGGTGCTGAGGGCGGACTCAGCTCTGTCAATGTCGCGGAGAGCAGGCACATATGAGCACTGAAGGCGTAAGCACGCTAGGGTGGGGAAACCATGAGGTGCTGAGGGCGGACTCAGCTCTGTCAATGTCGCGGAGAGCAGGCACATATGAGCACTGAAGGCGTAAGCACGCTAGGGTGGGGAAACCATGAGGTGCTGAGGGCGGAGTCAGCTCTGTCAATGTCGCGGAGAGCAGGCACATATGAGGAGCCCAGTGGACACCAAGGACGGTCACAGGCGAAGGTCAGGGACTCTGGCTGTGCCAGCCACACAGGGGTCTCTGGACAACATAGGTTCATAAAGAAGCATGCAGATGGGCGGGGGAAAGGCCCAGTGTTGGCTAACAGTTAGCAAGGGTGTGTATGGAGGGCGAAGGGTCTGTGAGGAGGCTACCCATGCCCTATGGGGAAGGAACAGGAGCCCACAGGACCCCAGCTACTGCCCCGTGCCTGCTGTGCACCCTCAAGAGGCTAACGAGCCACCCAGCCCCCACACACCATGTTGGCCAGAAAGCCTGCCCTCCCTGCCAAGCTCCGACCTGGTCATTTGCTGCTGTGCCCCAGTGGACCTCAGCCATGGGTGGACCCAGCTGCTGTCACCACATGCACAGGACAGCCCTACCCTTGTCCACACACCAGCCCCTCAAAAGGAAAACACCTACCATCGCCTGCCTGGAAATTACATTTTTAAAAATTTTATTAGGACGTTTGCAGTCCATGGGGTTTGCAGTCGCCTTGGAGACCAGTGCACAGGCATAAGCCAGCTAGCTCTTCCCTTAAGCCCCTTCCCACCATATCCTCCCTCCTGCCTCCTCTGAGCCTCATCTCATTCTTGTGTTTTGTTTGTTTGTGCAGGGTCTCACTACGCAGCTCGGACTCGTAGTGATCCTCCTGTTTTCAGCCTCCCTAGTGCTGGGATTACAGGCCTGTGCCACCATGCCCGGACTCCACTGCCAGCTCAGCATGCCCAGGGGTGGGGCTGGTGCAGCATGTGGTGCCAGGGATCGAATGTATTCTTGTTTTATCATAGTCTTGGCTCACGTGCTGACTGGTCACTGAGGTTGGCAGGTCCCCTGCATGGCACAGGTTCGTTCTGGCTGCTTTCCTTCCCGCCCTGTGCCCTGGTCCACAGTCTCTTGGACACTCCCTGTTGGCAGGGGCTCCTTTTCCCTTCTGTCCATCCTCGTTTTGTTCTTTATCTGCACTTTGCTTTATGTGGATGAGAAATACACAGTATTAAGCTCTTACGTCTGACTGACTTCACTCGACATTGTATGGTGCATCCATTTCCCTACAAGTGCCTGGAATTTATCCTTCACTGTGCCTGAGTAGTCTTCCACTACGTAGAGATACCACATTTCTTGGTCCGTTCTCTGCTGCTGGGTACTCAGCTGCTTCCAGATGGGAATATCATGCGCCTTGCAGCTGTCCCCACGGGTGTGCATGCACCGCTGCAGGGACAGCTTCAGCTCTTGGGGAAGAAGTCTAGAAGGGGAGGGTGTGAAGCCCAATTCCTGACTTTAGTTCTGTGATAAACCTCCCACCCGCACTCCATAGTGGTTGCCCTCGCTTCCACTCCCACCGACAGGGTAGGAGGGCTCCGTCTTCCCTGCACCACGCCATCCGTTATTCTGACTTGGTGATGATTGCTGCTCTTGCTGGTGCAGGGTGCAGCCTTAGTGCTGTTCTGATTTGCGTTTCTCTAGTAGCTGGACATGCTGCGTGTTTTTTCATGTTCATTGGTCATTTGTGCTTCTTCCTCTGAGAAGTGTCTGTGCATTCTAGTTGTCCACTTCTTCACTGAGTCATTTGTTCTGGTGATATAATTGCTTTTAAGTTATTTGCATATTCTAGATATTAATCCTCTGTCTCAGAAGTAGCTAGCAAAACTTCACCCATTCTGTGGGGTGTCTCTTCACTCTATGAGTGTTTCCGATGTTGTGCAGAAGCTTTCTAATTTGATATGACCCACTTCATTGATTCTTGCTATTACTTCTTATGCGGTTGGGGGTATGTTCAGAAAGTCCTTGTCTACACCTGTGACTTCAAGTGTTTTGCCTTTGTAACCCTCAAGTAGATTCAATATTTCTGTTTTAATGTTTAGATCTTTGATCCATTTTTATTTTAGCTTATTACATGGTGAGAGATATGGGTCCAGATTCATTCTTTACATATAGACAACTGGCTTTCCCAGCACTATTTGTTGAACAGACTATATTACCTACCTTTACAATGAAAACCACAGTACTCTGACACAGGGGACTGAAAAAGACATCAGAAAATAAAAGGATGCGCTGGATAGGCAAAGCCAATGTCGTCGAAGTGGCCATACTCTCAAAACCTATCCTCATGTTTAATGCAATCACAATGAAAATACCAACAACACTCCTTGCAGAACTAGAGAAAAGAGTCCTAGAAGTTGTCCTAAAGAACCAGCAGAGACCCAGAATAGCAAAAGTAATCTTGGAAAACAAGAGCAAAACAGGAGACATCATAACACCTGATTTCAAGCTATATAACGACGCTACAGTGATGAAAACAGCATGGTACTGGCATGAACATAGGCTCGTGGGCCAACGGAACAGAACAGAAGATGCCCCAAATGGCCCCAGACACATTCAGCTACTTGGTCCTCAGTAAGAGGGCCAAACACTGCACTTCTTCTTTGGAAATTCATTTTGAGCGATGCTTGCGCGGAAGCGCCCTGCACGTGTTGGGTAACTGGCTTTCACCACTGTGTAAAGCAGCCCCCTCGAGAGACCCAGAAGGAGCTGCCAGAAGTGGCTCCAACCCGACTGTGCGCTCCCTTCACCCCTGCCCCCGGGACAAGGCACTTGCGGCTTCTGGACACTTTAGAAAGCAGAGAAGGAAGGACGTCCTGCTGGGGACAGAGCTCTGCCAGAACGCCTGCGTCTCACTCAGCTGGGTGTGTGGGTACACGGCTGCAATCACAAGAGGCTGAGGCAAGAGGAGCCCTCAGAGCTCAAGGCCAGTTTGGGCCACACGGTGAGTTCAAAGCCTGCCTGGACTACATAGCCACTCCCTGTCCTAGAGAAGAAGAAATACACGCAGGGTGGTCCAGAGTCTCCCTGCCTTGGAAACCAAGAGAAGGCCTTGCCCAGGTACAGGGAAGGGTGGCCGGAGGAGGGAGAGGCCTGCAACCTGCTCCACCGGCAGCACGTCCGGGAGCAAACTCTAGTGACCAAGCTCCTTTTCCTCTCCTCAGTCACTTCTGCGGTTGGTGCTCTAGATGGAATTTGAGGTGCGGTGATATCTGTTGGAGCCCTCAGAAGTTTCTCCCTTCCATGCATAGAAGACAAAGCCATTTTTCTCTTGGTGCTAAGGTGGAACCCAGGGCCTGCACAAGCAGACGGAAGCTCACGCCAGAGCCACACTGGCCTCGGGAAGAGAAGACTCAGCAAGCCCAAGACAGAGATGGGCGCTGGAGCAGGACAGGCCCTGCCCTCTGGAGCTCGCAGTTTCTGAGGGCTCAGTGCAGGGCTGCTGGCGAGGCAAGCTTCCTGGGGGGCGTACAGTGGCAAAGTGCCAACTCCCAGTGTCCGGGAGGGAGGCAGGGCGGGGCAGGCACCTCTCCAAGGCAGCACCGCAACCTCCCGATGGGCGTCTCCTCCCAGATTAGCTCCCTGTGACCTGGTCACTTGCGCAGCCAGCAGCTGGCCTCTGGGGACGTCTGCAATCCACACCATGGCAGCTTCCCAGCATCGTCCACTACTGGGCAGGGAAAAGCACAGTTGCCCAGGAGAGAGGTGCCGCACTCCAGATGTACAGGCTCCTGGTGGAGCCCGGCCCAGAGCCCCACCTGGCCCGGGAAGGAGCCAGGCCCCACGAATGTCCTGGTGAATGGTGCCATCAGTGGGTGGAGCCCTTTCCGAGGAAGGATCATTTCACCCCAAGTGGGAGGTTAAGCATGCCTATAAACCTCAGTCTTTCTGTCCGACTCAACTGAGAGGGCCTGAGAGTACATTTCTTCCGGCTCGGTCAGTCGTGCTTGGGTTGCACCCACACTCTCGGCCCCCAGGAACTAGAACCTGGGCCACCAGGCTGGACCCATCGCTGACCCCTGCCCTCGCCTGTCCCAAGTTACAGCCATTTCAAGGGGCACCTCAAAGCAGCCTCTCCATGTCCTGGGGTTCTGTGGGTGTCCAGTTGGCGTGAGGGCCCTGCCTTCCCCCTGACTCCAGTCACAGGGCCCTGGGTGCGATGTATGCTGCTGGCTCCAGGGTACTGGCTGAGCAGCGTACGGCGGGGCCGGATCTCAAAGCGGCCCTGGGTTAGGTGCTGCTGTCCACACCCACCGTGTGTGTGGCTTTCCTGGTGGGAGCCCTCCTTGCACCGGCCACCTGGGGTAACTTCCTCCGAGAGGCCAGCTCCTCCCCAGCCCAACCCCAGCATGGGTGTAACCCTAGGATGAATTCTGCCTGGGGACTAAGTGGTGGGAAATAGGACAGTGTGTTTCCTCACCTCCCATGGGCCTGCACTCTGCAGCAAGAATGCTCACCTTGAAAATCACGCCTAGGCTTTCAGGGCCACAGGAGATTAAACACAGAACACCCCACCCATACGCCCAGCCCACTTCCACAATCTGCTTGTGCCCTCAAATACAGGCCCGCTGCCTCCCCACTGGGAACGGCAAGCACGCGGGTTAGCACACTTAGTCCCCAGGCAGAATTCATCCTAGGGTTACACCCATGCTGGGGTTGGGCTGGGGAGGAGCTGGCCTCTCGGAGGAAGTTACCCCAGGTGGCAGGTGCAAGGAGGGCTCCCACCAGGAAAGCCACACCAGGGAATTGTGCCCCTCAACTGTGAAACCAGAGCCCACAGAGCAACAGCCCCTGAGCCCTGAGGGAGCCATAACCCTCAAGGACAGGAGGGAAGGAAACACTCCCTTCTGCTTCCTGCCCTGACACTTTTGACAGTTCCGGAGACTGGACTGGAGCCCTTGCAGCACTGAGCTGCACTCCCAGCCCTTCTTATTTTGAGGCGGAGTCTCCCTAAGTTGCTCAGGGTAGGTTTGAACTTGCAGTGCTCCTGCCTTAGCCTCTCAGAGTAAGACAGACATGCGCCACCATGCCCAGCTAACTCTCCGCCTTAACCACCTGCTGGTGTCCTGCCAGCCAGCCACCAGCAAGGTGACAAGAGTTGCCCTGGGCCAGGCCCACAGGGAGCAAAGGCATACAGGGTTGAGGACAGAGAGTGGAGGAACACCCACTGGCACGGGGAGCACCTGTGGCCTCCCCAGGGCCCCGCTCCCTCAGCCCCACCTGAACGCACCTGCCTCGTCCTCGCTGCACTGTGACAGGTGAAGTCCCCTCCCTGAGCCCACTGTCCCTGAGAGGTGGCATCCAGTGCCTGCAGCTGTCCCTGGGCTGGCGGCAGGCTCCTGCCTGTGTGAGCGTGAGCGGCAGCTATGTCCTCCCTGGTCCCCAAAGCAGCACGTCTCCCAGACGCTTCACCCCAGGGTGCTCCGAGGTCAGAGGAGCTTGCGAGATGAGCCCAGCCCCTTGGAGGAAGGCCGAGGTGTTCCCAGGGCTCCAGCACCAAGCAGGCCTGCAGCTCCAGGGCCCGGTGTGCTCTGCCTGAGAGAGACTGCTGTGGAGCCTCCCAGCACTGCCCTCCCTCCTGCGAGCCTTTCAGAAAGCCACCCATGCTCGTAGGGTCAGCAGCTGGGCCTGAAAGGGCCATGGTCTTTGCAAGTGAGGCCACAAAACATGTCTGCCCCGTGGCACCCACTAGCTCCCGCCAGCGCTGAGTCAGTGTTGAACGCCCAGTCCACTGCAGTGGCTCTGACTGCAGCTCTGTGCTGAAGTGTGAACCCTGAGACACATGGCATCCAGCTGGCACCAGGAAGCCAGTGTCCCCAGGCCAGGGGACCCCCAGGCTCACGCCCAGGGTCCTCTCCTCCCAGCATGGATGTAGGAAGCTGCAGGACCCTCCAACGGTGGAGAACCTTCCCACACTGGGCACGGGGATTGCACCGCGGCTCGGGCATTACGTCACAGAAACCCGGGCCTAGCAAGCCGCGGTCCCCTCCTCCTCAGCCTCTGCCTGTGTGGTGCCAGCCTGTGCACTCCAGGCTGGCTGGGGCCATAGCCCAAATGAGGCTCTGCTGTCCCCCTCTGTAGGAGGGTGTGTTCGAGGGGACAGACACAGGAGAGACCCTGGCCTTCCCAGGCATGTGGGGAGCTAGGGAGACGACCATGTTGGAAATGTGGACAGCAGCCAGGGGACACAGTGTGGGGTGGCACCGGCAGCGTCTCTGCAAAACGAGGGCCACCAAGCCACACTTCCGCTCCCCGTGCTTAGATGGTTCAAGTCAAGTTTTGTTTCATTATCAAAATAATTTTATGTAGTTTTTAAAGTACACATTTAAACTAAACTTGTAAGATGATAAACTCCAAAGTGCTCTAACTTCCTTCTATCTCTTCAAATGTTTTCTTCAAAATTTTAATACATTTAAAAGAATGACTGCACTTTGTACCTTGGATGCGGGTGGTACCTCTCGTCGTGAGCTTAATCTGACACACATGTAGGGAGAGTCGCGTCACATTCACAGCGACAGTTTGTGCAGGGAAGCAGGATTTGCTGGGCGCCTCTGCACGGACTGAACCGGACGCCTCGCCCTTGCTTCTGACAGTGAAGACTCAGGCAGCTCCTCCGCTGCTCAGCTGAGGGCTGCCCACTCGCCAGGGGCAGGCTGCTGCAGATGTGGCACAGGCCCTGCGGGGCAGAGTCGCGGGAGGAGCGGCATGCGGGCCCGCAGGCCTCGCCCGTGCAAAGCTGGGAGCAGCTGGCTGCACGGGCACCGGCACCACCCAGCTCTCCTGCAGTCTCACTGGAGTTACCTGAGTGCCAGCGCCAGGCCCCATGTGTCTGCTGCACACTGAGCCCCACCTGTGAGTGGCTGCCCTCGTGTACACACCACCCAGGGCTGAGTAGGCTGAGGAAGCATTTGTGAAAATCGCCTTCTACCCTCCTGCCAGAATATATCTTGGCCAGGCGTGGTGGCCCGTATCCCAGCACTGTGGGAGGCTGAGGCAGGAGGATCCCAACTTCAGGCCCTGCCTGGGCAACTTGGTGGCTCGTAAAACCTTATCTCAAAGTGAAAACTAAGGAAATGGTTGGGGGTGGAGTGCAGTGCAGACCCTGGTACCACAAAAAAAGATCTTTTGTTTCCAATTACTCTATCTAACTTACTCTCAGGAGGTTACCCTGACTGACACAGACTCTACATGCTCCTCCTGTCATGCTTCTTTCTTCTAAGGAATGTCTTCAAGTTCATTTTAATTCCTTTAACTCATTTTAAACAAGCAAAAGGTCATTAATCAGTGGTGATTTGCTCAAAATTGGTAATTATTTTAAGGTACCTCACCCCTTTCGTGTTTTCTGAATTTTGCTCAATTACGGAATGCCAACCAAAACTTTCACTGGGCAAGCCCAGGCATGAGCTGGGTTTTGTCCCTTTGAGGTGCTGCCTGCCAGTCCTGGGCAAGCGCTGTGTTCAGGTTCGTCACAGGCAACTCACGACCTGCCTGTCTCTGACAGAAGGTGGGGACGTGATGGGGTGTCAGTGAGGGTGGCCGCCCCTCCCTGCCTGCCTCCCGGTCCCTGGGTCATCCTGCAGGGGCACACCTGAGCGCAGGCTCTCTCCACAGGTGTATCTGACGGCAGGCACGGTGTACGGGCTGGAGGGACAGCTTGCCGAGCTGGAGGGCGCCGCCCGCAGCATCCACAGCAGCACCCAGGACACTGAGCTGGCCGGGCTGGAGGACCAGGTGGCCACGGCTGCCGCGCAGGTGCACCACGCGGAGCTGCAGGTGCGTGCGAGTTGGCTGCGAGGCCTGTCCCCTCCGGGGCTCCCTTCTCCTAGCACGGCCAGCTCCTCTTCTGAAGCAGGCTTCCTCACACATCACTCCTCTTCAACACCCTATGTGTTTTCTGCCCACCACTTCCCTGCCCTACCCCGAGACTGCCTGGTCTCGAGACCGTCCTCTGGGTCCAGCTACACTGTTCATAACTTGATGCAAGTGTGCCCACTGTGGCCCAGAAGCTCTGTGAGAAGGGGACTGTGGCTGTCGCGCTTAGAATGGACTCCAGTGCCACTCACCTACCTGACACACACTAGGGACACTCGTGTCTTTACCCGGGTGACCTATAACAGTGACTGCTGCTGCCAAGTGCCACCCCGCAGACAGGCAGCTGCAAAAACAAGACCGTGCCCTCATCCACCTGCATCACGCAGTCTGGCACCATGTCCTCCTGGCTCCTCCCAAGGTCAAAACGACCCTGAAGGGAAAAGTCTTTTCGCCCATCCAGGGCATTGGGTGCCCAAGACAGCCCCACTAGAGGCCTCAGGAAGGAAGACTCCAGAGGCGCTGCAGAGAGCAGTGGGATGAGAGTGCTTGAAGCACCTGGCATGGTGGCAAACGCTTGTAATCCCAGCACTCTGGAGGCTGAGGCAGGAGGATCCCTGTGGCTCACGGTTAGTCTGGGCTACCTAGTGAGTTCAGGGATAGCCCCTGAACTGCATAGTGAAACACTGACTCAAAAAAGGAAAGAAAAGAAGAAAGTGTTCAAAGCAGGAATGAAGACTTTGAGGGATTAAGACAATGTCTTACTATATATTTTTTATATATTCACCATATTTTTCAGTCCCACCTCCTGTTTTTGTATGTCTCACATTTTAAAAGTACATTTTTGGGCCATTTCTGCATAGAAACGGTGATAACCCACAGAGTTGGGGTCATAACTGTGATTTTAAATTGCCAAGAGTCACAGCCACAGCTGACATTGCTAGTGCCCAGGGGCCGGCTCATCCCGGATGTCCCTGCTGACCATTCATGATCAGCTAGATGAACTTGAAAGAGATTTTCCTCCAAAAACTCTTTTCCATGAATGTTGCCCAAGATTTAGTAAATTTATTATCAAAGTTATAAAAAATAGACATCAATCATTTGTTGTCTGGTCCCTGAATGGTTTAGCAGAATGTAATGTTACTTAAGAGTGTGTCAGAGGCTTTATTGGGTAATGAGTTATTTCTGCTTCCAAACTTTTCTAGTATTAAATTATTGGAGCCAACACTTACGGTAGATAATTGTGGAGTCCCGAATGTCTATTTTCTATGTGTTTGAATGTACCTATTACTTTACTATTAATGCTTAAGCGCTGCAGTGGAGTGGGTAGCACCCATGTTCCCGAAGCTTACCTCCTGCTGGAGCTACACCTGATGGTGTGCCCATAAAGCTGACCTCATCTTTGCAGTCACCCCAGGACATGGCCACTTCTGTACTCCCATCTTTTGACTTGAGGTAATAGAGATAGCAAAAGGTTGAGCCACTTGCCCAAGGTCAAATGCCAGAAATCAGTGGCATTTTGACACCCACACACAGGGTGCATGGCCAGGAGTGTGCAGCGTGCACAGGAGGCGCAGGCCTGGCCCACAGCACGGAGGCTGGCCTGGTGCACAGCCAGGACTGAGGGCCCCTCCATCCACAGTGCTAGTGGAGCACAGGCTCAGCTTGGGCAGGGGGCCTGCAGGGTGTGGGGCCCCAGGAGGAAGTGGACTCAGAGCAGCCCAGGGAGCCACAGGCACTGGGCCCCAATCAGCCTTGGGACAGCAGGCACAGCCCTGCTGTGGGCCCAGGGTCACCAGCACATGCCTGTGAAGAGTCTGATACTCTCTGCATCAAGAGAAGTTGTTCATCTGAGCCCCTGATCCTTCGCTTTGGAGCAGAGCTGTGTGCTCGGATCCTCGGGGAATCCAAGAGCTGACTCAAGCATTCCCATCAGCATAAGCTCAGGCTGCACATCTTAGGGGTCATGGGGCAGGTAGGGGATAGATGGATGGATTGATCAATTGATGATAAATAGATTGATAGATGATAGATAATAGATGGATAGAAAGATAGATGATGGATAACAGATGGTTCGATAGATTAATGATAGAAGATAGATGATAGATGATGATGATAGATAGTAGATAAATAGATTTTAAAAATATAGAATATAGGCAAAGTCAGTCCTCTGTACTCTCCCTTTGTCTCTCTGTCCCTTGTCCTGTGGACTAAAACTTGAAAAGTTGATGCCTCCTCACTCAGAGCCGGCGCCTGCAGGCAGAGGCCCACAGTCCTGCTCGCTCTGACCCCTCGCGAGCAAGGCCCTGTGTCGGCGCTGCTCCTGGGTGAAACGGCAGTGAGTCCACAGCAGTTGTGAGTGGCTGAAGAGAGCTGGCCTGCAGCTTTCCCCAGAGGCTCCTGGAGGCGCCCGTCTGTGAACCAAGGCCCCGCGCTGTCAGTGCAAGGTGTCAGGGTCAGAACAGATCGGCACGGGCTTGGCCTCGCCCTGAGTGGCCCCCAGGCAGCAGCGCTGTCTCCCACAGCTGCCTCCGATGTGGACCT